CTCTACCACTAATATCTTTGTGCACCCACTAGGAGGACTTTAACAGGTATGTGATGCATTGTGGGGTTGAGTTTGTCTGTTTTTCTTTCTAAAAATTTCATTTTCAGGCAAAGGTTTTGCAGCTACAATTAGTCAAGCTGCGGGGCCAGCAGGTCCTAACTGCACATGCGTGGGTGGGAAGGCTGCCCTGAAGGCCCGGGGCCTGTTCCCTCCTCACCTATTCACATTCCAATATTAAAAGCCTATTTCACTTTAGTCTTAGGTGTACTCAACCATAATGGCAAGCTCATTTTTGTATTTTTTAGTAGAGATGGGGTTTTACCATGTTGGCCAGGCTGGTCTCGAACTCCTGACCTCAAGTGATCCACCTGCCTGGGCCTCCCAAAGTGCTGGGATTACAGGGTGAGCACCGTGCCTGGCCCAGCTGATGCTTATAATAATGGCTTATAGACCGATTTGTTCTTTACTCCTTCCAGGTGAGCATATGTTTACCTCCCATTCAATCTCCCTACTCATGGGCAGAAGTGAGCTGTAGGTCTTGGAACTCTCAAGAAGAGAAGGGGAATCCAATTTGCATATGCAGAATCCAAGCACATCAGCTCGAGTCCTGGGCTATTCTCAGATAATAAGATGACCCCCCTGGAGCCTCTGCACACTGCAGACAAGCCCGGCTAAGCCTTACTGTGCTGTCCTGAAGGTACTGCTCCAGATCCCGGCTGTCAGCCCCTGTCCAGCATCGCAGGGCAAGTCCGGAGACCGATATGTTGGATTGACCAGGGCTGACAGGTGGTCCTCTACGGTGGACAGGTGTCTGCAGTAGGCCAGCCCTGTTGAGGGAGGGAGGGCAAGTGTCATCATCCCACACCTGAAGCCCTCACTTTGTCTCATGGGGCCTCCCAAATGCTGTCCACCCCCATTTTAAAATTTTTGTTTCGAGACAGGGTCTTGCTCTATTATTTTATTATTCATGGCTCACCGCAGCCTCTACCTCCCAGGCTGATGCAATCCTCTCACACAGCCCCCTGAGTAGCTGGGACTGGAGGCACGAGCCAGCATGTCTGGCTAATTTTTTATTTTTTAAGAGACGTAGGTGGCCGGGCGCGCGGTGGCTCTCAAGCCTGTGAATCCAGCACTTTGGAGAGCCGAGGCGGGTGGAATCACGAGGTCAGAGATCGAGAACTATCCTGGCTAACATGAGTGGAAACCGCCGTCTCCTACTAAAGAATACAAAAACAGCTAGCGGGCGTGGTGGCGGGCGCCTGGTAGTCTCAGCTACTTGGGAGGCTGAGGGCGGGAGAAATGGCGTGAACCCGGGAGGCGGAGCTTGCAGTGAAGCCGAGATCACGCACACTGCACTCCATGCTGGGAAGCACAGGCGAGAACTCGTCTCAAAAAAAAAAAAAAAAAAAATGTAGAGACGAAGGTTTCACCAATCTTGCCAGGCTGGCTCTAACGAACTCCTGGACTCAAGTGATCCTCCTGCTTCAGCCTCCCGAAGTGCTGGGATTACAAGCACAAACCACTGCACCTGGCCCACTCCTGTTCTTACTAAACGCCATGACTCAGTGAATTCTCGTCAACTTCCCCTTTTCCAGACAAGGAAGATGGAGCTTGATGCACCTGCTGGCTGGACTGCTAAATAGCTCTATAACCACAGGGAAGTCTTATCACCTTCCTCAGCCTCAGTCTGGGTGATGGCACCCTTCTCTGCTCTAAGCCAAAGCATTTAACTCATAGGCTAGAGGCAGAGAAGGGGCAGAAAGGAAGGTGGCCAGTGACTCTGTGGGCTTGCTGTGCCTCTGTCTGCCTCTAATCCATACAGCAAGAAAGAGAATGTGAAATGTGGACAACTCTGGTTTAAATTGCAGCTGCATGAGTATTTATCCAAAAGAAAGGAAATCAAAGAGGTATCTGCACCCCCATGTTTACTGCAGCACCATTCACAATAGCCGAGATACAGAATGAACCTAAGTGTCCATCAATGAATGAATGGATAAAGAAACCGTGGTATACAAATGCAATGGAATATTATTCAGCCATAAAAAGAATGAAATCCTGTCATGTGCAGTAACGTGGATGGAACTGGAGGTTATGTTAAGCAAAAAACGCGAGGCATAGAAAGACAAATATCGTATGTTCTTACTTATAATGGAATCTAAAAATGTAGTTTTCATGGAGGTAGAGAGTGGACTGGTGGTTACCAGGGGCTAGGAAGGGAAGGAGGTAGGAGGAGGATGCAGAGACGTTGGTTAATGGTACAAAAATACAGTTAGATGGAATATGCTCTTGTATTGGATGGTATAGTAGGGAAATTATAGTTAATAATTTACTGTATATTTCAAAATAGCTATTAAAGAAGAACCGTCATGTTCCCCAAATGAACATAAATGTTTGAGGTGATGAATTTCACAAAGACGTGGACTTGATCAATACACAATGCATACATCTATCAAAATATCCTATGTACCCCTAAAATATGGACAAACACAATATATGTATCAAAAAATAAATAAAAAACAGGGCAGTCCAGTGGCTCAAGCCTGTAGTCCCTGCACTTTGGGAAGCCTAGGTGGGCAGATCTGTTGAGCCCAGCAGTTCAAGACCAGTCTAGGCAACAAAGTGAGACCATATCTCTATAAAAAAATACAAAAAATTAGCCAGACATGGTGCCACGTGCCTGTAGTTCCAGCAACTCACGCCTGAAGTTCCAGCTACTTGGGAGGCTGAGGTGAGAGGATCGCTTGAGCCAGGGAGGTAGAGGCTGCAGTGACACTGCACTCTAGCTGGGATGACAAGGCGAGACCCTGTCTCAAAAAACCTAAAATAAAAATAGAAATTTTAAATTTTAAAAAAAGAAAACAAACATTGCAGCCGAATTAAAAAGACCCCCCCTAAGTCAGTAACCAGGGAGATGCTGAAGGGGCACCAAGTTTGCTTTCAAAGATAGCCCTGCCTTCTTAAAGCATGCCTACCAACGTGCCACCCCTTATCTGGCCCACGCTGGCACCTGGAGGGTGTTAGGTAAAGTGCCTGAGCAAATGCCAGCCTCTGCTGTTTGCTCTGGCTGTGCCCCTTCCTTCTGGCTCTCCAAGACTATTTCATCCTCAATTCTCAGAGAGAACCCTGGACCTGCTGGAGACTGCAGACTAAACCTTAACAAAAGAGACAATCATAGTGATGATGATGAGGAGGAGGATGATGACGATGATATAATAGCTAACACACAACACACACTGCATGGCAAGGAGCTATTCCCAGAGTTACATAACTTAACTCATCCCATTCTCCCCACAACCCTAGAAATTAGTTACTACTATCATCTCCATCTTTTTTTTTCTTTTTGAGACGTATTCAGCCATAAAAAGAATGAAATCCTGTCATGTGCAGTAACGTGGATGGAACTGGAGGTTATGTTAAGCAATTTAAATTTTAAAAAAAGAAAACAAACATTGCAGCCGAATTAAAAAGACCCCCCCTAAGTCAGTAACCAGGGAGATGCTGAAGGGGCACCAAGTTTGCTTTCAAAGATAGCCCTGCCTTCTTAAAGCATGCCTACCAACGTGCCACCCCTTATCTGGCCCACGCTGGCACCTGGAGGGTGTTAGGTAAAGTGCCTGAGCAAATGCCAGCCTCTGCTGTTTGCTCTGGCTGTGCCCCTTCCTTCTGGCTCTCCAAGACTATTTCATCCTCAATTCTCAGAGAGAACCCTGGACCTGCTGGAGACTGCAGACTAAACCTTAACAAAAGAGACAATCATAGTGATGATGATGAGGAGGAGGATGATGACGATGATATAATAGCTAACACACAACACACACTGCATGGCAAGGAGCTATTCCCAGAGTTACATAACTTAACTCATCCCATTCTCCCCACAACCCTAGAAATTAGTTACTACTATTATCTCCATCTTTTTTTTTCTTTTTGAGACGGAGTCTCGCTCTGTCGCCCAGGCTGGAGTGCAATGGTGTGATCTTGGCTCACTGCAACCTCCGCCTCCTGGGTTGAAGCGATTCTCCTGCCTCAGCCTCCCGAGTAGCAGAGACTGAAGGCGTGCGCCACCACACCTGGCTAATTTTTTTTGTATGTTTAGTAGAGATGGGGTTTCACCATGTTAGCCCAGCTGATCTCGAAATCTTGACCTCAGGTGACCGGCCGCCTCGGCCTTCGGAAGTGCTGGGATTACAGGCATGAGCCACCATGCCCGACCATTATCTCCATATTATAGATGGAGTAAACTGAGGTACAAACTGGTTATGTCACATGCCCAAGTCACATCGCTGGGATCTGAAACCAGGCCACCTCGCTCCAGAACTCGGGTTCTCAGTCACCATCAGGGATGGGAAGGAGGTAGGAGGAGGATGCAGAGACGTTGGTTAATGGTACAAAAATACAGTTAGATGGAATATGCTCTTGTATTGGATGGTATAGTAGGGAAATTATAGTTAATAATTTACTGTATATTTCAAAATAGCTATTAAAGAAGAACCGTCATGTTCCCCAAATGAACATAAATGTTTGAGGTGATGAATTTCACAAAGACGTGGACTTGATCAATACACAATGCATACATCTATCAAAATATCCTATGTACCCCTAAAATATGGACAAACACAATATATGTATCAAAAAATAAATAAAAAACAGGGCATCTCCATCTTTTTTTTTCTTTTTGAGACGGAGTCTCGCTCTGTCGCCCAGGCTGGAGTGCAATGGTGTGATCTTGGCTCACTGCAACCTCCGCCTCCTGGGTTGAAGCGATTCTCCTGCCTCAGCCTCCCGAGTAGCAGAGACTGAAGGCGTGCGCCACCACACCTGGCTAATTTTTTTTGTATGTTTAGTAGAGATGGGGTTTCACCATGTTAGCCCAGCTGATCTCGAAATCTTGACCTCAGGTGACCGGCCGCCTCGGCCTTCGGAAGTGCTGGGATTACAGGCATGAGCCACCATGCCCGACCATTATCTCCATATTATAGATGGAGTAAACTGAGGTACAAACTGGTTATGTCACATGCCCAAGTCACATCGCTGGGATCTGAAACCAGGCCACCTCGCTCCAGAACTCGGGTTCTCAGTCACCATCAGGGATGAGCCACATCGACCAACAACATTGTTCCAGACCCATCTCAGCCCTTCACCCCTTCCTGCAGGAAGAGCTTCCATTTGGGTCTAATAAATACTTGCCCAAAGCCTGCTTCGTGCCAGGTCCTGCATTAGGCACTGCAGATGGGTGGTAACAGAACAGATAAAACCCCTGTCCTAGTGGAGTCACACTCTCCCTGCCTCTCCAGGCACTCAGGGTGTGAGCGCCACTGCTGTTTCACAGGCCCATGCAGGTTGTATTAAGATATTTCTAGAATCCCTGAATATACACACACACTTCATCTTCCCCATACAGGCTGTGAGGCTGGGGAAATAAAACCAAAAAATCAAGACAGCGGGGACGGGCATGACGGCGCATGCCTGTAATCCCAGCACTTTGTGAGGCTGAGGTGGGTGGATCACCTGAGGTCAGGAGTTTTGAGACCAGCCTGGCCAACATGGTGAAACCCCGTCTCTACTAAAACAGAAAAATTAGCTGGGTGTGGTGGCAGGTGCCTGTAATCCCAGCTACTTGGGAGGCTAAGGCAGGAGAACGGCATGAACCTGGGAGGTGGACCTTGCAGTGAGCTGAGATCACGCCACTGCATTGCCAGCCTGTAGCAGCGCACAGAGGTGAGATTCCCGCAAAAAAAAAAAAAAAAAAAAAGGCTAGGGCGGTGTGGCTCACGCCTATATATTCCCAGCACTTCGTGCGGAGGCGAGGTTGAGTGGAATCACAAGGTCAGGAGTCAGACCTCCTTGGCTAACACAGTGAAAACCGCGATCTCTTACTAATATAGATACATTAAAATTAGGCGGGGTGGTGGCGGGCACCTAGTAATCCCACAGCTACTCAGGAGGCTGAGGCGGGAATGGCGTGAACCCGGGAGGCGGGGGCTGCAGTGAGCGGAGATCACGCACTGCCACTCCAGCCTGGGTGACAGAAGCGAGACTCTGTCTCAAAAAAAAAAAAAAAAAAAAAAGAAAAGACAAGCAGCAGAGAGGAAACATCAAGCTTTTGGAGTCAGACAGGCCAGGATCTGAGTCCAGCTCTGTTGCTTGTTAGCTGTGTGACCTTAGACAAGTCATTTTGCCTCTCTGTGCCTTAGTGTCTTCATCTGTTAAATGGAAATAATCAGAACACAAGTATTATGAATTTAATATTTAAGTTTTGGGGGAGGGATAAGGTCACCTTACTCGTGCTGCAGCTTCTGCTCATGAGAGAAGGAAACTGACATTCATTGAGCATCTACAGCATGCAATACTAGGCGCTAGGGGCTTTCTACGTGGTCCTCATTAAATCCTGAAAACAAGTCCTCCGCTGCAGCACCTGGGGATGCAGTGGTGATTAAACCAAATCTCTGCCCCCAGGGGACCCCACTGTCAGGACCCAGGGATAAAATTTCTCCCGTCAGTAGACAAGGAAACTGAGGCTCAGAGAGGTTCATGTAATGTCACTAAAACCAGACATTTAGGGAATAGAGAAGGAGAGGTCCAAATTCCAGAGCCAGTATCTCTTGATGTTGCTGGCATACAGCAGGCACCAATAGCTGCTCCACGGAGACACACTGGCAATGAAGCCCTATACGTACATCCATAGAAGGCTCTGGAGAGGATCTGGTACTTCATATTGTCACAGAGAAGTTTCAGGGGAGCCCTGCAGGTGGAGAAAGAGGGAGATGCTTAGAATAGATCCAAACACAGCCCAGATTTTCTGGAGAGGGTAACCATGTGTTATCTCTCGAGGGCAGATTAAAATCAACCAATCAGGGGGACTGTAGGGAGGGCACCTATTATCTCTACTTGTACAGCATTATTGCCTCTTCTGCTACCAGCCCCAATATTCCCCTGAGAAATCACGTTCTCCACAACTCTCTGTCTGTGTGGTTTGCATGGGGATGGCTCTGCCCACTACAGGACTCAGGTTGGAGTCATAGTGATTGGGGCAGAGATGGTCATGTGACCCAACCTGAGCCAGTGAGAATTAGCCCTGGGACTTTTGTTGGAATTACTAGGTAACAGACACTTCTCTGCTTGGGTTTCTAAGCCAGTGGGATATCGGGCAGTGGCTGCTGGGAGCCATCTTTGCCACTGCATAGGAAGCGCCTGTCTGAGGATGGAACCATCATAGAGGCAAGCAGAGCCAAGAGCTGAAGAAACAGAGATTCCTATTTCGATCATCTGTATCCAGCCATGCCTGAAGCCACTGTGTCTCTGAACTTCTCAGTTATGCCAACACATTTCCTTTCTCACTTGAACCAGTTTGAAGTGGGTTTCTATCCCTTGCAGAAAGCATTCTGATTCTAAAGTGATCCAGTTGAATCAAGCTAAACCAAATTGGGATTCGGAATCTGGCTGATTGCTAAGTAGGTGACGTCTCAAAGCTTCTCTTTGGGAATTTTTGGGAATTTTTTTGGCTAAAAGAGGTGAGAGGAGTCAGATTCTAGCATTGTTGGAGAAATCCAGGACACTGAAGGGAGTGTTGTACACTCTCGTAGAGGATAGAATGGAAGAATATCTGCATATTTATTTTCAGGACATCCCAAGAGACATCCAGAAAAACAGGTAGACTGGGGCAGGGCAGGAGGAGCATAGCTGACGTCCTCCACTTAGGCATACGGAGGCAGGTAGGAACATTAAGCAGGAAAGAGTCCCCCTTTGTGCCCTCAGGTTGGTGAGGCTCAGACTTGCTCAGGTTACATGAGAATAGGATCGCATCAACAGCTTTCCCACTGTAGACTTCGCTTTCTGCAAGGTAGTGAGTTCTCCATCACTCAAGGTGTGTAAGCAGATGCTACAACAGGAGAGGGGGCAATGGGTTATAGCAGCCTTTCTCACTGGTCCATGGACCATCAGCCCAAGAGTTACTCAGAGTTTCTCCAACATGTGGATTCCTGGGTCCCGCACATACCTACTCAGTCAAGACCTCTAGGAAGTAGTCCAGGAACTGGTATGTCTTGCCACCTAGGCCAGGTGATTCTGATGCACAATAAGAGAATCTCCAGGCCGGGTGCGGTGGCTCATGCCTGTAATCCCAGCACTTTGGGAGGCCGAGGCAGGCAGATCACTTGAGGTCAGAAGTTCGAGACCAGCCTGGACAACATAGTGAAACCCCATCTCCACTAAAAACACAAAAATTAGCCAGGAATGGTGGTGCGTGCCTGTAGTCCCAGCTACTCGGGAGGCTGAGTCAGGAGAATTGCTTAAACATGGGAGGTGAGCCGAGATCACCCCATTGCACTCCAGCCTGGGCGACAGAGAGAGACTCTGTCTCAAAAAAAAAAAAAAAAAAAGAATCTCCAGTAATATTAGCACTTCTCAAACTTCAAAGTATACACATGGTCTTGAAACCATGTTAAATACAGGTTCTGAATTTGCCCAGGTGCTGATGTTGGTTCACAGACCACACCCTGAGGAACCAGGGGGTTGGATGACTTCAAAAATTTGATGCCGACTCCCACCTCTTACATCCTATGGCTGATGACTGGACCATCCACTGGGACAGAAGCCCCGCAAGGACAAAAGGGTTCCATTCTCTCAGGCCAGGCCAGGTTGGACCAGGTGAAAACAAAACTAGTCTCATGAACTGGCTGAATAGTTTCAAAGAGACAAAAGATCTATGGGCAAACAGGAGATGAGCTTGAGATTTAACTTTATACAACAAAACAGGAAGTGACATTTACTGAACAGTACCATGTGCAGGTGCCACATTCTGGCCACTTTAAACCATTACCTGAGCTGGTCCTTACCACAGCCATATAAAGTAAGAACTGGAATTTCCACTGTGTGGAGGCGCAAACTGAGATGTAGTTGTCATTAAATTATAGTTCTGGGATTATTCTGCCTTCTAGCTGTATGGTAGGGCTGCATTTGCTGTCCCCTTGTGGATGGGGCCAATGGGCTGTGAGTGGATATGACATGTGCTGCTTTTGGGCAGAGCCTTTTTATTGTGGGTTCCAATCTCTGCAGAGTTACCTTTCCCTGTCACTGTGACTGGCAACATTCAAGATGGTAGCTGCTCCATCACCCAGGCCCTTTAGTGTGGAAAAAAAATAGCACCAGATGACCCAAGATAGAAACACAGCATGCATGATAAATAAACTTTTGTTATAAAAAAGCCACTGAGATGTTAGGACTGTTTGCTACTGCACCATAACCTTGTTTATCCTGACTAATACATGTGACCCTTTAACAGCTAGGATTTCATGGCCAGGATTTAACCTATATCTGCCTGAGTCCACAGGTTATGTTCATTCTGAATTCAGTGCAGGGTAAGATATGGGCATCTACAGATCTCTGGTACATCCTTCAGCTTCCTCCATCAGCAGCTCAGGCTCCTCATACCTCTCGTGGTTGCAGCCATTGGTTGAGCCACCATCAGCCGAGCCACTCTGTGAACAGGAGGAACAGGAGGACTTCCGGGGACTGGGTTGCCATAGGGATGGGAGGTTGCTCACGGAGACATCCATCAGATCCTGGGGCACTGTGGTGGATAGAAGGAGGGGCAGAAGAATCACCCTGGTTAAGCCTATGTGGGTCACAGAAATCTCACCCCAGAGCAAGCAGTTCACCCGCCCCAGCCAGCACAGAGATAGGAAAAGACCCTGAAGGTGACAGTAGGAAACAGCAGCCCCGAACATCCTTGAGTCTGCCTGATCCAATGAAAGCCACCACCAAAATCTGGTGGCCCTGAGAGATGGGCAGAGCTGATGACAGCCAAAGAGAAAAGAAGAGGACACAGAGAGCCAAGAGCCAAGAAAACAGGCCCAATCCCAGAGCAGGAAGCCAAACCTCACCATGTTGTCACTTAGTCATACTAACAGGATGCTGCAGGAGGGAAGGGGAGCCTGCTGGGTGTTTCTGGAGAAGAGACAGGCCTCACGGGTGAGATGGAAGGGAGCCTGACTCAACAGATGAGGCAGGGCACCCAAGTGCCAGAGACCCAGTGAAGCCCCTGCTGATGAAGAGGGCACCTGCGCTGTCCATGGTTCTGAGGCTAAAGCTGCTCCACCAAGTGGGTCTCAAACATATTAGCGACTCCCTAAAATCATGTGGGAGGCTTGTTAAAAAGCAATATGACTGCCTCACACTCTGGCCTACTCAACTAAATCCTGGAGACAGAGCTCTCAAATCTGTATTTCTAAAGCAATTTTGATACAGGAAGTACATTCGACAGACTCTGATTTCCCAACTTGTGGACACTGGTGATTCCTGACCAGCCATTCTTAGGATACAGCACTCATAGCTTCCTTTATTTTTCTTTCTCAGCTTCGTAAAAACTGCAGTGTCTACAAAGCCACGTAACAAACATACTGGGGACATACGCATTACAATTTCTATAGTCGATTTCCTGGCCTCTTGGTAGTCCTAGACAGGCGCAAAAGCTTTATTTTCTTTAAAACAGGGATCCATAAACTTTTCCTGCAAAGGGACAGCTAGTAATATTTTAGCGCTTGCAAGCCATTTGGTCTCTGTCATAAGCACTTGACTCTGTTGTTGTAGTACAAAAGTAGCCATAAACAAAATGTTAAAAAGGAAGCATGCGCACGTTCTAATAAAATAAATAAAACTTTATTTATAAATAGTGAAATGTGAATGTCGTATCATTTTCATGTCACAAAATAATACTCTCCTTTTGGCTTTTTGGGATCATTTAAAAATTGAAAAACCATTCTTAGCTCATAGGCTTGTACAGAATGGGGCTGAATTTAGCTCATGAGTCTTAGTTTTCTTTCTTTTTTTTTTTTTTTTTTTTGAGACGGAGTCTCGCTCCTGCCGCCCAGGCTGGAGTGCAGTGGCCCGAGCTCAGCTCGCTGCAAGCTCCGCCTCCCGGGTTCACGTCTTTCTCCCTGCCTCAGCCTCCCAAGTAGCTGGGACTACAGGTGCCTGCCACCTCGCCTGGCTAGTTTTTTTGTATTTTTAGTAGAGACGGGTGTTTCACTCATGTTTAGCCAGGATGGTCTCCATCTCCTGACCTCGTGATCCGCCTGTCTCGGCCTCCCAAAGTGCTGGGATTACAGGCTTGAGCCGCCGCGCCCGGCCGAGTCTTAGTTTTCTAATCCCTGTTGTAGGAAGTGAAGAGAGTGGCACACCCATATGTCATGATCCCCACAGGACAGCTGGTAATACCCTGACTCTTCCCTTGCGCCCCAAGGTAAGGGGGAGTTGTGGAACTGGTCCTCTGGCCGTCGGAGCTCCGTAGCTGACAAGGTCAGCCCCTACCCACTGACAGAAGAGGAAGCTGCTATATGATGTAGTTCTCGCAGCCACCAAATGTGGCTTGTTACACTATTCTTCCCCATGTAACTCACCCATGAGCTAGCCAAGGAAGACCAGTAAGCCCCTGTAAAATGTTCTAGAAAAATAGCCCCAGTTCTTAGCCAATCTCAGGGGTGCACTGACCAGTTTAGCCCAAGCGTGGTAACTGTGCCTTCCTCCATCTCAGCCTCTCACACTCGCATCCACACAGATAACACCAATTGATCCCTTTGCTACTGAACCTACCACACTGCAAGCTGCCTTCCATAGGGTGGAGGCTAGACAGCAGGAGAGCATCAATCTCTCTGTCTCCATCTCCCTTCCTGCCTCCATCTCTCTTGGGACCAGGACTCAAATGACAACATGGCAGAGGTGGCTGGCACCCAGCCCCCGGGGAAGGGGAGATCCCAGACATTACTGGGGGGCTGCTCCTTCAGGCTCGGCGTGGGGAGAGTAGTGTCCCATCTGGCTCGCTCCCACTGACTCCCTCTGGCCACCACCAGCATGGACTGGCCTGCAGGAACCATCATCCAGGCAGGGCCCACAGAGATGGAGGAAGTGCTGCCCAAGAGGTCGGGGGCAACTTGAGATACAAAACAGAAAGAACCAATGAGGTGGGGGTTCAGAGCCACCTCAGGACACTGAGACAGCTGGAAGAGTCCGTTTCTGGGGGCTCCAAACCTCCCCCTCCCTGGCTCCACACAGCTCCCACATATACTGTGTTCAATTAGAACAAAGAATGCCGATTTTTATAACGTGCCTACTGTGTGCAGAGTGTCAGGCTAGGCAATTTGCGACCTGAGCAAACCTAAGGAAACCAGTTATTGTCCTTCACGACCCTGTGAGGGATGCATCCTCCCTCTTCCGCTTTGCAGAAGAAACTGAGGCTCAGAATGATGACACAACTTAATCACCCAAAGCCCTGCCAGGCAGTAGGCCATTTGCAAGTCATCGCTCTTTGCAAAATGGGGGATGGTGATGACAACCTGGGAGGGCTATGGTGAGGATGGAATGAATTAAGATAAGGACATATCTAGTCTTTTTGACTGAAGTCCCTCTCCTCTTTCCCCTAACAACAGCTGTCCCTACTGAGTACAGTACTATCATTATCCCCTTTTACAGATTGGAAAACTGAGGCATGGAGAGTTTAAGCAACATGCCCAAGACCACCCAACTAATAAGCAGAGGAGCCAAGATCCCAACTCAGGGGATTTGACTTTCTTTTTTTTTTTTTTTTTTTTTTGAGGTAGGGTCTTGTTTTGTCATCCAGGCTGATGTACAGTGGCACAGACATGGCTCACTGCAGCCTTGATCTCCCAGGCTCAAGTGACTCTCCATCCTCAGTCTCCTGAGTAGCTGGGACTACAGGCACGTGCCAGCATGGCCAGCTCATGTTTTTAAAATTTTTTGTAGAGATGGAGTTTCGCCGTGTTGCCCAGGCTAGTCTCGAATTCCTGGGCTCAAGCCATCCTCCCACTTCAGTCTCCCAAAGTGCTGGGATTACAGGCATGAGCCACTGTGCCTGGCCTGAGGACTTGACTGTCATCCTACTCTTTCTACCTCAGCTGGTTTCTCATAGGCACTTCTCTCCACACCATTTGTTCTCAACCTGGGCAATCCTGTCGATGTTTGCAGACACTTTGGGTTTCTAACGCCTTGGGGATTAATTAGGTGCTACTGTTGTCTAGTAGCTGGAGGTCAGGGATGCTGCTCAACATCGTACACAAGGCAACCCCCACACAAGGAATTATTCAGCCCTAAATGTCAACAGTGCTGAGGCTGAGAAATCCCACGCTAGACCAGCACTATCCAACAGAAACACAATCAAGGGGCTGGGAGGTGGCTCACTCCTGCAATCCCAGGACTTTGGGAGCCCGAGGCGGATGAGTTGCTTGAGCCCAGAAGTTCTAAGCCCAGCCTGGGCAACATGGCAAAACCCCATCTCTACAAAAAATCAAAAAAAAAAATAGGCCGGTATGGTGGCTTGTGCCTGTGATTCCAGCTACCCAGGAGGCTGAGGTGGGAAGATCAATTGAGCCCAGGAGGTCGAGGCTGCAGTGAGCCACGACTGCACCACTGTACTCCAGCCTGGGCAACAGAGCGAGATTATATATAATCTTTATTTACAAAAACAGGTGAATGGGCCGAATTTGGCCCATGAAAAGGGGTTTGTTGACTTCTGATTTAGGCCCTCTTTCAGAAAGAACTTCATACCTCTCACAGATAGAAACCTGTCACAGATGGAAACCATAAGATGACTGTTTTTGTTAAGCCTGTGAGGCTCAAGCCCCAGAAAATCAACCAAGGATGCGGTTGCCATTTCCATGTGGGTTGAAGCTGACCTTGAGAATGAAGGCAGTGAAAGCACAATGCCTGCTCCCTGCCAGTCAAAACGATGTGCATGGAGTAGTGGTTACAGGCACAGGCTCTGGAGCGACACCTCCTACGTTCAAATCCCAGCCATGACAAGAATTAGTTATGTGATCCTGGACTGGTCGCTTAACCCTTCTGTGAATCAGTTTCCTCCTTGCAAAATGGGGGATGGTGATGACAACCTGGGAGGGCTATGGTGAGGATGGAATGAATTAAGATAGGGACAGCGGGACAATGGACAGAAGTGGGCCTGGCACACAGTGGCACTCAAGACACGATATCTGCTATTGCTTACTAAGCATCTGCCAAGCGCCAGGCCCCATGTCAGGTCACCAGGTGTTTTAGGAATGATCTTGCTGATTCCTCAGAATATGATGCTGGTGGGGAGTGCTGTTACCCCATTCTACAGAGAAGGAAGGGAGGTCTGCAGAGGACAGGTCACTTAACCACACCGCAGTGGCAGAGCTCAATACAGTGATGCATTCTTTTCTCTAAACCAATGGCTCTCAACCAGGGGCAATTTTGCCACCCTTCAGAGGACACCTGGCCATGCCTAGAGACATATCTGGTTGTTACAACTTAGAGCAAAGTAAGTTTGCTACTTGGCATCTAGCGGATGTTCAACATCCCACAATGCACAGGACCACCTCCTACAACAAAGAATTATTCCATCCCAAATGACAGTAACACTAAGGTTCAGATGTCCAATTCTAGATAAACTGAATTAGTTGGGTGTTTCCTCAAGGGCAGACGAGGATCCAAGTGCAAGTTCCAAAGGCACATCAGTAAGGGAGGGGCAAACTGAGACAAAAGAAGAAAAGGGGAGGGAGTAAAGGGTTAGTGGCCAAGCAAGTTACCAATAGAGGTAACTATGCTTAATCTCCCAAGGAAGCTCTAGGAGTCTGTGCAGAACATGTATGTCAGAGTTTGCCTCACAAAGGGAGAGGGAGCTGGGACATTGATACACTAACTCCTATCAGCCATGAGCTGAGGGCTGCTCCAGGGAGGCACTGGTTCCCTGATGCTTCCAATATGCCCCATCCCTGGCCAGAAGGGACTCTTGGCGGCCAGAGAAAACCCTCAGGCAAAGAGATACTGAGACAGAGAGCTGCAGTTGGTAGCTGAACAGCATGCACAGAATGAGAAATGCTGAGGTTGTGGGTGAGCACAGCCAGTGTCTGTTCCACTGGCCTTCATCAAGCCACAGGAGGATGACATGGAGAATCTCCAAATAAACTAAACACCCAGCACTCTGCCTAGCTCACAGCGGGAGTGTGCACATTGCCTGTTGGATGAGAAGCTGTGGAGTTTCCTGGGAAGGCAACTACAGGGGATCTAGCCCTCTCTGATAACAGGCTCTTGAGTGGAACTCTTAATGAATGTTGGTCTTCACAGCGGTGGGAAGCCCAAGTTCTCGGGCAACAGGACAGAAGCTGGCTCAGCATCCCACGGGATTTCACCCTCATACATGGAGCCTTTTCAGCCTTGGGGCCCACAAGAGCCTTGGTGTCTGGCCAGGATTTTGAGCACCTGGTTCCATGGAGTGGCTGGGAGGCCCTGATCCAGGGCAGGAACAGACATAGTCATGTACACTTCAGGACACTCTGTAGTGCTTAAGGGATTCCAGCCTTGTCCAGGAGGACATCTGCTCTCAAAAGAGCCTCTCACTGCCCAGCACGTGGCTGCTTCAGCAAAGGGAGGCTCAGAGCCATTATCCTCGGATGGGAACATCAGGGCCGCTGCATGTTAAATAAAATGAAGTGAACAGAAAGAGCCTACCACTCAATACTGATTTGTTTAACAGACACCCATACCATGCTTCATAAATGCCAGGCCCTCTTCTAAGTACTTTTCAAATCTTAATTCACTGAATCCTCACAATAGCCCCGCAATGATGACGCTCTTAGCAGTAAGAACTTCCATTTGCTACGCATCTGTGTCACGAAGGCACCGTGCAACCTGCTTGCCATTCACCATCATCTCATGTGCTTCGCCTCTATTGGTGTCAAGTTTGACTACAACTTACCGAGGGCCTACTGTGTGCAAGGCCTTACTCCATGAGCTCTACGATGAATATTTCATCATCTCATTGACTCTTTATAATAACGAGAAGTAGAATATTAACAACAACAACATTTGAGTGTTTTGTATGTGTGTGAAATGCCTGATCTCATTTTAAAAATATTTTAATTTGCATTTATTTTGAGACAGGGCCTCACTTTGTTGTCCAGGCTGGAGTGCAATGACACAATCACGGCTTATTGCAGCCTCGACCTCCCCAGACTCAGGTGATCCTCCCACCTCAGCCTCCCAAATAGCTGGGACCACAGATGCATGCCACCACACCTGGCTAATTTTTGTATTTTTTGTAGAGACAGGGTTTCACCATGTTGCCCAGGCTGGTCTTAAACTCCTGGGCTCGGGCAATCCAAAGTGCTCCCTCCCAAATTTTGGCCTCCCAAAGTGCCAGGATTATGGGTGTGAGTCACCATGCCCGGCCGCCTTACCTCGTTTGATCCCCAGAATGACTTATGTAACTGGTGCTATGAACATGCCCATTTTACAGATGAGGAAACTGAGGCACAGAGGGCTGAGATGACTTGCCCAAGTTCAGCCAGGATTCCAGAACCTATGCCATTGCCACTACCCCAGGCCACCTCTCCTAGTGTCTTTATTAGACAAGTAGAGGGTGGTTATTGTTCTTATTTGAGGGGGGAACTGAGGCTACCAAGAAACCAACTTTGTTTCCAGATCCTCCTGTTAGCCCCAGAATCCAGACCTGTCATCTTCTAGTTTCAAACACCTGGAATCATTTTCAGCATCAGTTAGCAGGTGACTCCCTGGGGCCCGGGACAGAGCAGCTCACCGAATTCCGACTGCATGCCAGGGTAGATGATCCTGAACACATAATCCGTGGCCTCGTCATCGTCTTTGTCTGAAGATGTGGACTCGGCAGAACCCTGAGGGCTTCGCTTGCGCAGTTTAGGAAACACTTTGCCCTGCAAGAACATGTCCCAAAGCAAGATCCTTGGGACACACCTGTCCCCACAACTTGCTTAGTCTGAGGGTATCAGTGGGGAGCGCATGAGGCCACACAGCCACATAAGGGCACACAGGCAAAAACCACCACCCTCTGTGACCAGCCTCCACCCCAGCCTCCCCGGGTCCCCATGATCACTCACTTTACCCCGCTGGGACCACAGTGGCGGGTCCAACTGCCCATGTGGGAGCAGCCCATTCTCCAGGCACGAGAGGAACTGCAGGAGGTGCCCACCCTTGGGGAAGCGGAAGGGCGGCCTCTGGATCCCGTCCTGGCTGACCAATACCACTGTCCCGCCGCTGTCCACTGCCGCCACCAGCAGCCAGAGAAGACCCAGTGGGAAGTCACTATGAGGCACAGTGACAGCCCCTTCCTGCAAACACATCCCCCAGGGGTGCCAAGCCAGACCCAGGGATCCTGCTCTGAGGCTCTGGGAAAGGCCTGGGCAAAGGTCAGGAGCAGTTTTTACCTCCCCTGAGTCTCTCTCATCTCACCCACCATCCACCTCTGACTGGGGACTACAGGACAAAGTCAAGAAGAACCAAGTTGACCTTCCTGACATTAACCACCAAAAGAAAAAGATGCCCTCTAGCACCCTACGCTCCTCAGGAATCCTTTACAAATCTACCCAACCTATTTTTGTATGGAAGCCTTCAACTTCCCGTGTCTTGGGGCAGTAGCTGACTCTGGCTAGCATGTATTGAGCACTTACTGAGTACAAGCACAGCATGTTAGAGGCACTGTCTTATTGAAATACAATATCCCTAAGAGTCCTATCTACTACTGCCTATTTTACAAATGATGAAACCAAAGCTCAGAGAGGTTAAGTAACTTCCCCCAAGGTCACACAGCTGATCGATGGCAGAGTCATCTAAGCATTATCAGTGCTTAGTAAGTGTCAGCAACTAATGCCATAGCCATAGGTGGATTTCATGCTGAGCCCTTAACATCCATCATTTCATCTTCACAACTACCCCATGAGAGGGTCCTGTTGTAATTCCCATGTTACAGATGGGGAAACTGAGGCACAGAGCGGTGAGGTCCCTTGCCCAAGGTTGCACAGGTAATATGGGGTGTCCACCATATCACTGTCATACAACGCTAATGAATAGGCAGGGGTGGAGACAGGCAGGGGATCCAAGAGGATCAGAGGATCACAGCCCCCTTCCTGTCCCCACAGTCCCTACCTTGCTGGTGGCAGTGCAGGTAGACAATCTCCTCCAGGCGGATGGTCATGGCATAGTCCCAGTAGACGCTGGAAGTGGAGGGACGGTCAGGCTTGCAAGACTTCTACCTACCCCAGTGTGCAGAGGGGCTCAGATGCCAGCAGACCACACCCAGGAGCTCCTCCACCCTTCCCACTAGGTCCCCAGCATGTGTCCCATCCTGCCCAGACTCTATCTCCCCTTCTTCTGGTCTCAGAACCCCAATTTTCCGAGGTTACCATCCTCCCTCCCTACCCCCAGTCCATAGAGAGGTGAGGTGGACCCCACCCACTCTCCACCCTGGGACTCCAGGAATGGCCACCTGACCCAGGCCTGGTCAATCAACCTGTCCCACTGTTCCAGCCACAGTGTTCAGCGCAGGACTGACTCCTGACTCTAGCAGAACCAATGAGACTCAATTATTAGGTTTCCACTTGAATGACTGGGAAAGAGACGCCTCATTCTGTCTGGAGAGTAGTGGTAAGGGCAGAAGTCTGAAGATGGAAGCGACTATGCCTGAGAATGGCGTCAAAAGACAGGAAGACAGAGCAAAGAGATGGAAAGAGTGCAGGTCCCCGTCATTCAAGTCCCTGGATCCATCCATGCCTGAAGCTACTGCCCCTGGAGTTTTCAGTTCCTGTGGGCCAGTGCTTAAGTCAGCTTGAATTTGGTTTTCTCTAACTGGCGTCTAGGAGTCTTGACTAAAACACATCCTAACTCCAGGCCACTATGTGTCCATGTGCAGCAGTTAGAATAGCCACTCAGTAGTTTCACAGGTCCCCAGCAGTGCGACTTGAGGGTTTCTCTGAGCCTCAGTTTTCTCATCTATAAAATGGGGACTAGAATAACACCCACCCCATTGTGCTGCTGTGAGGATTAAACAGAATCACGTATTTGAAGGGCTCAGCACAGAGATGATACATTAACAAGTGCGTACCTGGGAAGTGGTCCCTATGATTATGTCTTTAAGCGTTTCCATTTCCAGCTCAAAACCTTGCTGCTGTCCTGTCCTGAAACAAATAGCTTTTCTCATCAGAACACACGGAGGGGTGGAGGACACAGAAACTTGGACTTTGTGGTGGCCATGGAAATGCACCACTCAGATCTCCTTCAGAAGACCTTGCTGAGGGGAGCAGAGCGGATTAACTTCAGAGGGCACCCCCTGGATCTATCACCACATTTGCACTGAAGCCATGCTTCCCTTAGGCTGCTCCCAGCCAGGACCTAGCATGCCGGAGTACTAGTGTCACTCATTCCTGCGAGACAAGGAACTCCTTCAACAGTCAATGGTCCACTGGAGACTTCCAACTGACCTGGCCAAACGGTCTTAGAGCCGTGCTGTGTCTCAGTCTCCTTCTGCCTGACCTTCCTTCCTTCCTCCTCTTCCTCCCTGCATGGCGGTCTGAAGGCTCTCCCTGTCTGCTCCTGCCCCTCCCTTAACCTGCACAGGTGTGTCCCCAGTAAATCTCTGCTGGTCCAATACTGTCTTGGTGCCTGCTTCTTGGAGGACCCAAACTAACACAGGCTTCAAAGTCAGCAGCGTTCAAATCCCACTTCCACCAGAGACCTTAGCCAGTTCCTACCTCAGTTTCTGGCCCTCAGTTTCCCCAGCTGTGAAATGAAAAAAGTGGAATAGGCTCAGAAAAACCTTCAAGTCACGCTGCTGGGGACCTTTCCTCTTGGAAAGCCCTTCCTGCCCTGGCCTGTGCCAGAATCAGCCTCACCAGAGTTCACGGAGGTAAATGTCCTTCGAAGACAGTCGAGGACACAAGGGCAACAGCCTCTGTTGAGCCCCTCCCATACCCAGTCTAGTCAGGGTGTCCTCCCTGGGCTCCCACAGCCCCGTGTGCCCGTCACGCTGGGTTGCAACCACCTGTCCTCTCCTCTGATTCCCCAAAGGGTGCTGAACACCTGCAGAAGGACTCTGTTTTGTTTGCTTCTCTGTGATGCTCAGAGAATGTTCACAGTGCATAGTGAATGCTGAGCACTGGAAATGCCCAGTGAACAAAGCCGCCACCACCAGCCATCAGCAAGGAGGAGCTCTGTGGCCATAGTCTCTTTGGATCCATGAATATGACACCAACAGCCCCCATGACTGAGAGCCCTGTCCAGGTGCCAGGCTCCCAGCTAAGGGTTTTCCATGCACTTCTGTTACATAAATTCTCCCTATATGCTTATTCAGAGGTTCCCTTACTACATTCCCATCTTACAGATAAATAATCTCAGGCTCAAGGAAGTGGAGCTGATTGTCCCAGGCCGCATAGCTAGGAAGGAGCAAGGGCTGTTTCTGGTTTTCTTTGGCATGTTTTAGCAGCTTTACTGAGGTATAATTTACACACCATAGAATTTACTCACTTTAAGTGTACAGTTTGATGAGCAAATATACAGATTTGGGCAACCATCATCACAAGCCAGTTTTAGAACATTTTTACCACCCCCAAAAGGTTCCTGTTGCCTGTTTGTGGTCAATCTTCCTTCCCACCCACAGCCCTAGGCAACCAAGAGTCTGCTTTCTGACTCCACAGATGTGCCTTTTTCTGGACATTCCATCTAAATGGAATCCTACAACATGTGCCCTTCATGGCTGGCTCCTTTCATGTGATATAAGGCTTTTGAGGTTTCTCCATGTTGTAATGTCCACTGGTGATTTATCCCTTTTTATAGACAAGTAATATTCTGTTGCATGGATGGACCACAGATGTCTACATCCATTCTTCAGTTGATGGGCATTTGGCTTGCTTCTAGTCTGGGGTTATTATGAATAATGCTGTTATAAGCATTTGTGTGTAAGTTTTTGTGTGGGCCTAAGTTTTCATTTCTCTTGGGTAGATCCCTATGAGCAGAATTGCTGGGTCACATGATAAGGGGATGTTACAAGAAACTGCCAAACTGGTCTGCAAATTGGCTGTCCTACCAGCAGCACAGGAGGGTTCCATTGCTGCTCCACACAGTAGAGTTGAGATCGGAGGCAAGTCCAGCCTGACTCCAGAACCCCAATATCCAGCTTTTTGGTGACATTTTCTCTGTAACACTGGGATACCCACTTAGTGAGTGAGGATCGTGGCTGTGCAGGAGTGAGGCTGGCCGTGAAAAGAAAAAAGAGCTCCGGCTAGGCACGGTGGCTCACGCCTGTAATCCCAACACTTTGGGAGGCCGAGGTGGATGGATTACCTGAGGTCAGGAGTTCGAGACCAACTTGACCAACATGGAGAAACTCCATCTCTACTAAAAATACAAAATTAGCCAGGCATGGTGGCATATGCCTGTAATCCCAGTTACTCGGGAGGCTGAGGCAGGAAAATTGCTTGAACCTGGGAGGCAGAGGTTGCGGTGAGCCGAGATCACGCCATTGCACTCCAGCCTGGGCCACAAGAGCAAAACTCCGTCTCAAAAAAAAAAAAAAAAAAAAAAAGAGGCTCCTGCACAAGCTCAGACAAAAACCACCCCACTTCATTGCTTCTTGGTCCCCCAAGGGATGCTGGAGCTCCTGGGGCAAACCCCTTCCCCACACACCAACCTCCATATTTCTGACTCCTGCCATTTATCTTCCATTGAGCCTCAGGTTCTGGTGAGAATAACAAGAATAGACAGGAGTTCACAGCCCAGGGCTAGAGGCACCCCAGCTCCTAGGCAGTGACTGTAGAAGTTCTGATTCAGCCAGAACTCAGTATCAAAGTGCCTACGAGGTGCCTGTTCACCAACAGGGAAAGATGATGCAGAAACATGGGTCCCCGATGATCTGCGCTGGGGTGGGGCCTGGCAATCATCGGAGCCAATGCTTTTCCCAAAACACTAGCATCAAGTTTCCGGCCCACACAACCCTGGGCTCAAGTCCAAGCAACAAACAGGGTCCTCGTGCAGTTAAAGCTTTGACACTGGGTGCAAGATGCTTCAAGGTTTGAGAAGCCCCTGAAGATCCCCTGGGAATGCCTTCAATTTTAAGGAGACTGTCTCATCCTACTTCTCCACTTGATAAAAAGGGAACCCTGAGGCTCACTGAGGTGAAGTGACGTACCCCAGGTCATCCAGCAAGGTGAGAGTGGAGCAAAGGCTTGGTACCATAGCACATGTCCATCCATCTCCTTGCCCATTCATTGTTTTCCAGTAGAATGTAAGCTCTGAGAAGGTAAAGATTTTCCCCTCCTTTTCTACAACTGCTGCCTCCCTTGCATCTAGCACAGTGGCTGGCACAGAGTAGGTGCTCAGTAAACATCCAGTGAATGAATCCAGGTCCCCTGACTTCCCTGGTTCATTTCACAAGGCTGATGTGAGCACCTACTATGTGCTACAAGCTGTGGTAGGTGCTGGGGATAATATGCGAACAAGACAGGACTCTTGCCTTTAAGGCACTGAACTGTTGAGGGCAGGATGGTAGGTATACAGGCACAGATCAACTGTGTAGTCACGCAGTCTTCTAAGTGCTACAAAGGAGATTCAGGGCTTGTGTGATCTGGACTCAGCAGGGAAGTCAAAGAAGGCTTTAGACCAAGGCTTAAGATAAAGAGGCTAAGACGAGGTTCCAAGCCCAGAGCACCCCGGGACCCCTCCCCTATTCTTCCATGATGGTCTTCTGATTAGAAACTCTAGAGTCTGGGAGGCCAAGGTGGGAGGCTTGCTTGAAGCCAGAAGTTCAAGACCAGCCTGGGCGACAAAATGAGACACCATCTCTATATAAAATAAAACAGAAATTTTAAAAATAAATAAAAATAACCCTGTGAAGCGGCCGAGACGGGCAGATCACTTAAGATAAGATTGAGACCAGCCTGGCCGACATGATGAAAACCCGTCTCTACTGAAAATACAAAAATTAGCTGGGTGTGGTGGCAAGTCCCTGTAATCTCAGCTACTCGGGAGGCTGAGGTGGGAGAATCGCTTGAATCCAGGAGGCGGAGGTTGCAGTGAGCCGAGATCGCATCACTGCATTCCAGCCTGGGCAGCAGAGCGAGACAGTGTCTCAAAAAAACGAATAAATAAATAAGATAAAATATGAATAAATAAAATTAAAGTGTTTAAAAAGAGAGAGTAAGAGACTGCAGGGTCTGGCTGGAGCTGAATTATTGTGCCTAGCACAGGACCAATTGTCCTGTCCACTGACCAGCTCTGAGGACAGATGGTGACTCCTGCACAAGAAATGACCAGCTTAGAAAACATTTTTTTTTTTTTTTTTTTTTTGAGACAGAGTCTCGCTTTGTCATCCAGGCTCGAGTGCAGTGGCGCGATCTCAGCTCATTGCAACCTCTGCCTCCCGGGTTCAAGCAATTTTCTGCCTCAGCCCCCCAAGTAGCTGGGATTACAGGTGCCCGCCACCATGCCCAGCTAAGTTTTGTATTTTTAGTAGAGACGGGGTTTCACCATGTTGGTCAGGCTGGTCTTGAACTCCTGACCTCATGATACACCCACCTCAGCCTCCCAAAATGCTGGGATTACAGGCATGAGCCACCACGCCCAGTCTAGAGAACATTTTTCATCAGTACAAGGCCGGATGTTTCTTGAAAAGAGTCCATATTTTTTGAGATACACATTAAAATATTTACAGATGAAATCATATCAAGTCTGCATGTCGCTTCAGAATTTTATATATATATATATATATATAATTTATTTATTTATTTTTGAGACAGAGTCTTGCTCTGTCACCCAGGCTGGAGTGCAGTGGCACGATCTCGGCTCACTGCAAGCTCTGCCTCCCAGGTTCATGCCATTCTCCTGCCTCAGCCTCCGGAGTAGCTGGGACTACAGGCATCTGTCACCACGCCTGGCTAATTTTTTGTATTTTTGGTAGAGACCAGGTTTCACTGTGTTAGCCAGGATGGTCTCGATCTGCTGACCTCATGATCCGTCCGCCTCCACTTCCCAAAGTGCTGGGATTATAGGTGTGAGCCACCATGCCAGGCATATATATATATACACACATATTTTTAAGACAGTCTCACTCTGTTGCACAGGCTGGAGTGCAATGATACGATCTCAGCTCACTGCAACCTCTGCCTCCTGAGTTCAAGCAATTCTCCTGCCTCACCCTCCTCTGAGTAGCTGGGACTATAGGCATGCGCCACCATGCCCAGCTAATTTTTGTCTTTTTAGTAGAGATGGGGTTTCACCATGTTGGCCAGGCTGGTCTTGAACTCCTGACCTCATGATCCACCTGCCTCAGCCTCCCGAAGTGTTGGGATTACAGGTGTGAGCCACCGCACCTGGCCCAGAATAATAATATTCTGGAAGGAGGAAATGGGTTCATGGCCATGAGGGCAGGGTGATGGGTACCTGAGTTCTGTCTATCTTTAGGTTAAAATTTCTTTCGACTGTCGGGGTGGCTCATGCCTGTAATCCCAGCACTTTGGGAGGCCGAGAAGGGCGCGGCATCACGATGGGCTCAGGGAGATTTCGAGACCTATCCTGGCTAACACAGTGAAACCCGTCTCTACTAAAAAATACAAAAAACTAGCGGGCGAGGTGGCGGGCGCCTGTAGTCCCAGTTACTCGGGAGGCTGAGGCAGGAGAATGGCGGGAACCCGGAGCGGAGCTTGCAGTGAGCTGAGATCCCGGCCAACTGACTCCAGCCTGGGCGCACAGAGCGAGACTCCGTCTCAAAAAAAAAAAAAAAAAAAAAAAAAAAAAGAAAATCCTTTTTTTTTTTTTTTTTGAGACGGAGCTCTCTCGCCCAGGCTGGAGTGCAGTGGCCGATCTCAGCTCACTGCAAGCTCCGCCTCCCGGGTTCACGCCCATCTCCTGCTCAGCCTCCGAGTAGCTGGGACATAGGCGCCCGCCACCACACCGGCTAGTTTTATGTATTTTTAGTAGAGATGGGGTTTCACCATGTTAGCCAGGATGGTCTCGATCTCCTGACCTCGTGATCTACCCGCCTTGGCCTCCCAAAGTGCTGGGATTACAGGCTTGAGCCACCGTGCCCGGCCAAAAATTCTTAATTGTAAAATAATTTTTTAGGAAAGCAATAAAATGTAACATAAAAATAAGATTCGATGTGGACCTGGAGCAGGAAAAACCACTGCTTCTCCTCCCCACCAGCAGCCAAGCCTCCTCAAGCTGAAATATTTGAACCAGCCACACCTCTGCACCACGGCTTTATTTGTTCCTCCTAAAGTCTTCCCTAATTGGGCTGAAATCCAGGCACTGCAGCAGGAAATCCCCTGTCCCTGCATTCCTTTCAAGTGTGTCTCGAAAGCCTTTCCTGGGTCTCATAAATCATAGGATTTCATGGCAGATGCAGCCCTGGACCAGACGCCTGCTAATACCTCCTGCCTTCCCTTTTTATTGAGTGATCGAGAAGGAGGACAGAGACTGAAGAATATTTGCCATTTGTAGGCTTAGGAGATCTCTGTAAAGATTTCTCCCTCTGGATGGTTTTGTCCAGGGCATTGCCAACTCCCATGCCTTAAGACTCTTCCAGCTGATTTCCAGATCCTCTTGAGCCTTTGAGTTTCCCAGGAGGCTACAGCTGCAGGGAGGCTGAGCCAAGTGACCCTAACAAGAAGGCAGAAGAGCGGGCAGAAGCAGGGGCTGGATACAAGCCTCCCCTCTCCCAGGGAGGAACTTCCTTGTGCCGAGGGGAGTGGAGGGACCCAAGGGACACAGAGCAGACGCAGTGCCCTACCTCTTCTCATAGTCCAGGTCCCCCACAGACCCGTTCATCAGCTGGTTGGGGGTCCACTTCAAGGTCATGACGTCAGCCGTCTGGTGCAGGGACAGGTACCCTGGCACAGCCTCCATGTCGTCCCTCTGCAGAGAGAGGAGGACTCAGGTCTGGCCATGGTGCTGGAGTCGCTGTGGACATAGGTCCTGGCTCATTTGACTCAAGAACACATCATCGGAACTAAGAGGTTGGGTTAATCCCTTCAAGGCCCTGGCCACGTGGAAGACTCTAAAGCCTCCTTCCAGGTGGCCTTGCTAAGCAAAGCCATTTGCAGCCAACCTCCCAGGATGGGTTCTACATCATCCAGCTGTAAAAGCCTCCCACTCCCATCACTTTCACACCCTGACTTCCTTCTGATCTCGAGGGTCCCTGACCCCAGGTTCCTTCAGAGCCAGGAAGGAGGCCCTGCCCCACTGAAAATCATGCTTTTCAAAACAGAAGGCATTTATCTTGGCCAGGCTTAAGGGAGAAACAGATGGCAGCTGGGCTCTAGGGCCCTTCCCAGAGACAATACTCAGAAACCTCCTCCCAAAGACCCCCGCCACACTCCCCGCCCAGTAGTCGGTCCCTTTTCTCCCCTAGATTTACCTACAGGGATTCTCACCGGCTTTGTTTTATCCCAGGTGGGTGTGTGGGGAGGGCGATGTCACCATCCCCCCACCAAATTCACCCCAACATTTACTGAGCACCAAATGTGTCCCGAGCACGGCTCAGCCTTCACACGCACTGTCTTGATTTAACCACACGCGCTTACAACCCCAAGGGAGGAGCAGTGTAGTATTTTATCGATCCAAAGACACACATCTTGATTGTTCACTTTTTCATGTACCTGAAATGGGGGTGGGTCTTCTAATCACAACTGTGACGTGGCTGTCCTGCCTGACTGAACAGCCGTTCAAAGCATCATCATTTCAATTAAGTTTTGGACACGGTTGTTATTTCACATGTGGAATGTAGGTGCTATTTTAAATGTCTTCAAAAAGATCTGACCGTGATTCATCTTTGAATGGAAAACCTACTGTGCACATATGAAGGTTGGGAACGGAGCGGTAGAGTGCCTGCGTGACCCTGGCAAGGCAGGCACGTATTCATCCCTGCAGGGAAGCCCACAAGTCCAGATTGTCTTTTTTCTTCTTCTTTTTTTTTTTTTTGAGATGGAGTCTTGCTCTGTTGCCAAGACTGGAGGGCAGTGGTGCGATTTCGGCTCACTGCAACGTCTGCTTCCCAGGTTCAAGTGATTCTTCTGCCTCAACCTCCCAAGTAGCTGGGATTACAGGCACCTGCCACCACGCCCGGCCAATTTTTGTATTATTTATTTATTTTTTTTAGTAGAGAAGGGGTTTCGCCATGTTGCCAGGCTAGTCTCAATCTCCTGATCTCAGGTGATCCACCTGCCTTGGCCTCCCAAAGTCCTAGGATTACAGGCATGAGCCACTGTGCCCAGCCAAGATTTTCTTGTAAAGCAACAAACAAATACTTTATAGGACTTAAGAACCATCACAGCCTGGGTGCAGTGGCTCACGCCTGCAATCCCAGACGTTTGGGAGGCTGAGGTGGGATAATTACCTGAGCCCAGGAGTTTTACATTAGCCTGGACAATGTAGCAAGACCCCATCTCTACAAAAAATAACTTAAAAATTAGCCAGGCATGGTGGTACACACCTGTAGTCCCAGCTGCTCAGGAGGCTGAGGTGGGAGGCTTGCTTGAGCCCAGGAGTTTGAGGCTGCAGTGAGCCATGATCACACCACTGCACTCCAGCCTGGGTGACAGTGAGACCTTGTCTCAAAAAAAAAAAAAAAAAAAAACCCAAAAAAGACAAAAAACAAAAAACATCCCGGAGATGAGAGTGGACATTCTTGCAAGAAATGCTGCGCTTCCTGTGCTCCTGGATCACGGACCACCAAACTTTTTGTGTAAAGGGACAAATAGGAAATATTTTTTGGATTTGTAAGGTATACAAGCTCAGCTGCAACCACTCAACTCTGCCAGCAAGGCCTGAAAGCAGTCATAGGCTGTAGCTGTATCCCAATAAAACTTTATTTGCAAAAATAAGTAGAGGCACAGATGATTGTTAACTCCTTCTCTTGATGGAACAGGAAACAATGTGTGGAAAAATGGGAGATGACCCTAAGTCGAAAAGTGATACAGAGGATGGAACTCTGAACTGGAAGAGTTTGAAGAATATCTTGTAATGAATGTATTCAATGACATTTTCCCTGTGTGTTACTTATAAAAGTGATATAGATTCAAAAAACAAAACTACATCCAGTGTAAGTTTCTTTTTTTTTTTTTTTTTTTTTTTTTTTTTTTTTTTTTTTTTTTTTGAGACGGAGTCTCCGCTCTGTCGCCCAGGCTGGAGTGCAGTGCCAGATCTCAGCTCACTGCAAGCTCCACCTCCCGGGTTATCGCCATTCTCCTGCCTCAGCCTCAAGTAGCTGGGATACAGGCGCCTGCCACCTCGCGCCGGCAGTTTTTTTGACTTTTTTTTTTTAGTAGAGACGTTTCACCGTATTAACCAGGATGGTCTCGATCTCCTGACCTCGGACCTCTTTCAAAAAGCATAAGCTAAATTTTCTAAGTAGCAAAACAAAACAAAACAAAAACACTGTATATAATCTAAATAGCTTTTCTTCCCTTTTTTTTTTTTTTTGAGACAGAGTTCCTCGTGTTTCCCAGTCTGGAGTGCAAGGTGTGATCTCGGCTCACTGCAACCTCCACCTCCTGGGTTCAAGCAATTCTGCCTCAATCTCCCAAGTAGCTGGGACTACAGGCACGTGCACCCATACCCGGCTATTTTTCTATTTTTAGTACAGAGAGAGTTCAGCACTACCCGCGGACCCCCCCCCCCCATTTGGCCAGGCTGGTCTTGGACTCCTGACCTTGTGATCCTTCTGCCTCAGCCTTCTAAAGTGCTGGGATTACTGGCATGAGCCACCACACTCGGCCCTCTAAATAGCATTTTTAATTTGTTTAGATTACGTTAAGAAACGGTGTATCTTAGGCTGGGCCCAGTGGCTCACGCCTGTAATCCCAGCACTTTGGGAGGCAGAGGTGGGCGGATCACAAGGTCAGGAGACGGATACCATCCCGGCTAACACGGTGAAACCCCGTCTCTACTAAAAATATAACAAATTAGCCAGGCGTGGTGGTGGGCGCCTGTAGTCCCAGTTACTTGGGAGGCTGAGGCAGAAGAAAGGCGTGAACCTGGGAGGCGGAGCTTGCAGTCAGCCAAGATCGTGCCACTGCACTCCAGCCTGGGCGACAGAGTGAGACTCTGTCTGAAAACAATAAAAAAGAAAATGGTGTATCTTAAATTAGTGGCTTCTTAGATTTGCAGCAATCGGATTTTATACCCATTGTGATGCAGATATGGAGGCTCAGAGGGAAAAGTGACTTGCTCACGGTCACTCAGTGATTAAAACTGACTACAGAGATGGAGTGGCTGATGGTTTTCCCTTTGCTTCCTCCCGCTGAGAGCCCAAACACCACAATGACCATGCAACCAAATGGCCCTAGGGAGGATACAGCCAAAGGGGACACTGCATGAAGGCAGGAACTATATATGCCTCACCTACCACCCATCCCTGCAGCCTAGCCGTGTGATGGGGCAGAGAAGGTGATTGAGTGATGGCACTGACTCTGGCACCAGCTGGCCTGAATTCAAATCATAACTATCTGCACCTTACTTCACCTGTATAGCCCTCAGTATTACCATTTGATAACACTGAGGCCTGAAAAAATGGTACCTGCTTCAAAGGGTTGTTGGGAGGTTTAAGAGTTAATACAGTTGAAAACACCTTGCACAGTGCCTGACACATAGGGAAGCATCAAGAAATATTGGTCATGAGAATGAAGATCTTGACACCATATGCACCTAGCACATAGCAGGTCCATGGAAATGTTTGCTGAATCAATGAGGGAGACCAAGAGTGAACAGATGGATAGAAGCCTGAGTATGCAGGTGAGTGAAGAGATGGATGGGAAAATAAATGGACGGATGGATGGATGGATGGATGGATGGATGGATGGATGGATGTAAAGATGGGTAGATAAATGAATGTAAAGATGGGTGGATTGGCTGGGCGCGGTGGCTCATGTCTGTAATCCCAGCACTTTGGGAGGCCGAGGTGGGCCACGAGGTCAGGAGATCGAAACCATCCTGGCTAACATGGTGAAACCCCGTCTCCACTAAATATACAAAAAATTAGCTGGGCGAGGTGGCAGGCGTGTGTAGTCCCAGCTACTCGGGAGGCTGAGGCAGGAAAATGGTGTGAACCTGGGAGGCGGAGCTTGCAGTGAGCTGAGATCGCACCACTGCACTCCAGACTGGACGACAGAGCGAGACTCCGTCTCAAAAAAAAAAAAAAAGATGGGTGGATGGATGGATGTGACAATGGGTGGATGGATGGATGTAACAATGGGTGGATGGATGGATGGATGTAAGGATGGGGGGATGTACATATAGATTGACAGATGAATGAATGTTGGGCGGATGGATGTGTGCATGGGTGAGTGTATAAATGGATGAATGGATTGGCAACTTGGAGCCAGAGAGGCCTCTTCCTCCATAACCTGCAGTGAGACCCTCAGTGCAAGATCTGGGCCCAAGATAACCTCTCACCGGCTGAACTAGAACGTTGTTTTTGCCATAGAGCAAGGTGGCACGGGAGTTCTGATGCAGGGACTCCACATAATCGCGGGCAGAGAGGGATGGCCGGTCGTCCATGCTGCCACTGGAATGCCTCTTCTGGATCTGGTAGAGCGTGAGGGGAGACAGAGGGATGAGACCTGAGGTGACCTTGAGGACTCCTACCCTGTTTCCTGCCCCCATGCAAGGTCCCTCCCACAGCCCCACTGTCCACCCCACTCACACAGAGCGCGGGACGCTTGGTGGGCGAGTCCTGCCGCACGTGGGAGCTGTGGATGCGGTGCCTCTGGACAAGTTCGTCAGCTGAGGGATCGGTCCAGAAGTGATCTGCAGTCTTCATCTTGGTGTACTCTAGGGCACAGGGCCCCACTGAGGGGCACATGGGAGCTGGGAACCCACTGCCCCGAAAGTCCTCCCGCTCATCTACCACCAGATGGCCGCCCACCTCACTACCCTCTCTTCCAGCCTGCCAGGACAGTGTGCATTTTGATGGGCGAGGCTGGACAGGGGTGAGAGTGTCCCAGAGGAGTTGCCCCTGAGACTCAAGAGCAGGGGTCTAGATGAAGCTCAGCTCCATCTAGAAGTGGTCACAGGACCACTTACCCAACAAAGACGCAAGGATGGGGCCGTCCACAGGGTCCATCAGGAGAGCTTCCTTCTCATAGTATTTACTAGCAAGAGGAGAGAATATGCAGGTTTGGATGGAGACCAGCAGAGGACGCACAATCCACAGACGAGAGTTCAATCCCCAGTGTCACTTGGTTACCACCCAGAGCCTCAGCTGCCCCATCTGTAAAATGGGGATAATAATAATATAGCTTATAGGGCTGACAGAAGGGCTTTTTTTTTTTTTTTTTTTAAAGATAAGGTCTTTCTCTGTCACCCAGGCTGGAATGCAGTGGCACAATCAAAGTGCACTGCAACCTCGAACTCCTGGGCTCAAGTGATCCTTCCACTTCAGCCTCCCGCTTAGCTGGGGCTAGAGGCATGTGCCACCAGACCTGGCTAATTTTTTAATTTTTTGTAGAGACAGGGTCTTATTATGTTGCCCAGGCTGGTCTTGAATTCCTGGCCTCAAGTGATCCCACCACCTTGGCCTCCAAAGCACTGAGATTACAGGCATAAGCCACCATAACCAGCCTATTGGAAGGACTTTGGAGAGAAACAAAAAATTAAAGGCATTTAGCGGAGTGCTCAACATGTACATCCTTAACACATGGTCATGATAGAGCCTTTATAACAGTAACAGGAATAATAATTAATAGGTTGCAGAGGCCTGGCTGACTCTATCTGCCTCTACCACATCTTCCATTTGAGACAGGAAGTGACTTAGAGGCTCAGATGATGTCTACCCTTCTATTACTGGGGCAACCAAATGCTGTTTAGCAGCAGTGGGTACTGAAAGGCTGTATAACAAGCTTTCCTGCCTTGATAACTAATATGGAGAGCACTGGCCTGAGATGCTCAAAAATGCCCCCTGGGATTTGGCTGTGAAGAATAACAAGTGATGCCATCTGATATGGTTTGGCCGTGTCCCCACCCAAATCCCAAATTGAATTGTATCTCCCAGACTTCCCACGTATTGTGGGAGCGACCCAGAGGAAGGTAATTGAATCATGGGGGCCGGTCTTTCCCATGCTATTCTTGTGATTGTGAATAAGTCTCACGAGATATGATGGGTTTATCAGAGGTTTCTGCTTTTGCTTCTTCCTCATTTTTCTCTTGCCACCACCATGTAAGAAGTGCCTTTTGCCTCCTACCATGATTCTGAGGCTTCCCCAGCTATGTGGAACTTTAAATCCAATTAAACCTCTTTTGGTTCCCAGTTTCAGGCATATCTTTATCGGCAGCATCAAAATGAACTAATACACCATCAATACAATGTTTGTGCTGAATGTTTCCACAACTGAGTTATTGTGTAGTGGTTTCTAATTCCTTGAAAACTCATACAGTCTAGAAACAAACAATTTTAGGATGGAAAAGGACCTTGTTCTGACCTCCCAAGGGATCTCAGGCCCAGAGAGGGTGTTGCGGGAAGTCAGGGACCCCAAACGGAGGGACTGGCTGAAGCCGCAGCAGAAGATCATAAATTGTGAAGATTTCATGGACATTTATTAGTTCCCCAAGTTAATACTTTTATAATTTCTTACACCTGTCTTTACTGTAATCTCTGAACATAAATTGTGAAGATTTCATGGACAATTATCACTTCCCCAATCAATACCCTTGTGTTTTCCTATACCTGTCTTTAATCTCTTAATCCCGTCATCTCCTTCGTAAACTGAGGAAGATGACCCTGCGGACCCTGTGATTGTATCAACTGCACAAATTGTTTGTAGAGCATGTGTGTTTGAACAATATGAAATCTGGGCATCTTAAAAAAAGAACAGGATAACAGCAATGTTCAGAGAACAAGAGAGGCAACTTTGAACTGGCTGCCAGTGAGCCGGACGGAACAGAGCTATATTTCTCCTCTTTCATAAGCAAATAGAAGAAATATCGCTGAATTCTTTTCCTCAGCAAGGAACAGCCCTGAGAAAGAGAATGCGCCCTGAAGGTAGGCTTATAGACGGCCCCTTTCAAGGCGTCCCGTCCCATCTTTTATGGTCGAAGCCAAAGGGATGAAATAAGCCCCGGTCTCCTTTAGCCCTCCCAGGCTTATCAGGTGGAGGAAAATTCCCACCTAATAAATTTTGGTCAGACAGGTTGTCTGCTCTCAAACCCTGTTTCCTGATAAGATGTTATCAACGACAATGCGTGCCGAAACTTCATTAGCAATTTTAATTTCACCTCATCCGGTGGTCCTGTGATCTCGCCCTGCCTCCATTTGCTTTGTGATATTTTATTACCTTGTAAAGTATGTGATCTCTGTGACCCACACCCTATTCATGCACTTCCTCCCCTTTTGAAAATAGCTAATAGAAACTTGCTGCTTTTATGGCTCGGGGAACATCACGGATCCTGCCAACATGAGATGTCTGCCCCGGACACCCAGCTTTAAATTTCTCTTTCTTGTGCTCTTTCCCTTTATTTCTCAACCCAGTCGAGATACTTAGGAAATAGAAAATAACCCATGTTAAACATCGGGAGTGGGTTCTCCCAAAAGAGGGTAAGTGATTTAGTTGCTGGAGGCCATACGGCAGGCAGATACAGGCTTGGGCTGAGCCCACCTGCCTCAACTCTTGCCAGCATACAGCAGAAAGTAAAGGACATGGGATCTGGAGTGCCACAGAATGGGTGGGAGCCCAGCTATGCCACTCCCTGTCTTGCTGTGTGTCGCTGGGCAAGTGAGAGCCCTCTCTGAGCTTTGGTCCTCAGCTGTAAAATGGGAGGAAGTATAGAACTCAAATGCCTGGGTTGTTGGAAGGATTCAATGACAACTTGCTTACATAGCACAGCACAGAGCCCAACATCAGGAAATCCTCACGAAATGGTGGCAACATCACTGTAATCTTACCCCCTGAGAGTCTTCCATCAACTGGAATATTGTATGAGCCAGAATTGACATGCTCTGGACTTATTCAATATCAAGGTTGTACATTTTGGCATCAAATCTGAAGATAACACATTAAGAAACTTTTCACTTTGCCACCACTCAGTTTCTAAAAATCAGCAGAATTACATGATCAAAACCCTCAAACATGCTGCCTCAAAAATGAGTAGGTAGGGCTCTCAAAATAAATTAAAAAAGGCCAGGCACAGTGGCTCATGCCTGTAATCCCAGCACTTTGGGAGGCCAAGGTGGGAGGATCACCTGAGGCCAGGAGTTCGAGACCAGTCTGCCCAATATGGTGAAACCCTGTCTCTACTAAAAATACTAAATTAGTCTGGCGTGGTGGTGCATGCCTGTAAAACCAGCTACTTGGGAGGCTGAGGCATGAGAATCACTTGAACGTGGGAGACAGAGGTTGCAGTGAGTCAAGACTGCGCCATTGTACTCCAACCTGGGCGACAGAATGAGACTCCATCTCAAAAAATAAAAATAAATTTTAAAATTAGCAGGTAGCGTTGGAACCGAGGTGTGACTGTAAAAAGTAGCTGAAGGGGCTGGGCGCAGTGGCTCAAGCCTGTAATCTCAGCACTTTGGGAGGCTGAGGTGGGTGGATCACGAGGTCAGGAGATCAAGACCATCCTGACTAATATGGTGAAACCCCGTCTCTACTAAAAATACAAAAAAAAATTAGCCGGGTGTGGTGGTGGGCACCTGTCGTCCCAGCTACTCGGGAGGCTGAGGCAGGAGAACCGCATGAACCCGGGAGGTAGAGCTTGCAGTGAGCCGAGATCGCGTCACTGCACTCCAGCCTGGGCGACAGAGCAAGACTCCATCTTTTAAAAAAAAAAAAAAAAAAGAAGCTGAAAGGAGTTTCTTTGGGGTGATGAGGTTTATTTTGGAATAATTCTGTATCCTGATGGTGGTGTGGGTTATATGAAACTATACATGTGCTAAGGTGTCATAGAACTGTATTAAAAAAATTGAGTACCTATAAAAATTGATGAAATCCAAAAAAGTTTTGCAGTTAGTTAATAGTATTGTACCAATGTCAGTTTCCTGGTTTTGATCATGGCACTATGGGTATGTAAAATGTTATCATTGAGATTAGGCAATTAGTACTCTCTGTACTAATTTTGCAACTTCTATGTAAATCTAAATTAAAAATAAAAAGTTGAAATGAAAAGAAAGCAGGTTGACATTGCTTCTCAAATAAATTACTAATTCCCTTTGACCAACTGAATCAGCAGGTCATATGCTCAAGGTCATATGCCGAAGGCGATAATTAAAGAGGCCCAGAAACTTTCATGGCGCAGGAGGCAGAGACATGTTATTACTACAAGGTAAATAGTGAACTGGAGATCCAGAGCTTGGATTTCTTGCATTTTCTCTCCTGTCTCTAGGCCTCTGCACCTGCTACTCCCTCCACCAGAAACACTTCGTTCCCCATCCCATCACCTGGCTAATGCCTCCGTGCTCTTCAAATGGAGGCTTAACTGTTGCGCCATCCAGGACACTTTCCCTGACCACCAGGAGAAAATAATCAACACCACCACGCCCCCTTGGAACATCCATCACGTATTATCACCATGACTGTTTGCTGGTTTTCCTTGCAAGCACATGAACTTCATGAGAAGAGGGATTTTTCTCGCCACTTTCATGCATATTTTCCTTGCAAAGGGGCAAAGAATGATAACAAAACATCCACTGTGTGAAGACGTGGTTAAGCCAGCACTTTTATATTCTGAAAGATGGGGAGATTCTGAGATATTACACACTCTCTCTCTCTCTCTCTCCCCCCCATCCCACTGTTCCTGCCACCTCTTGGGGGCTGGAGAGGCATGCTGGCCACGAGGAGTGTCAGGTGATAAATTCTTCCATGGCTCTTGAGATGATGTACAAGCTCTGTAACATGACAGGCATCACCACTGTATCCCTGATGTCTAGGTTAGTGCCAGTACACAGCAGGTCCTCATTAAATATTTGCTGGATGAATGAATGCATGGATGAATGGTTACCCAAGAGGGTTCATACTATAAAACTTTCACATCAGATTAATCTAAGCTAGTGGAGAAAATGTAGAAAGGCTCACCATGCATTTTCAAAATGCTGTATATTTACCAAATTCCCTTCTCACTTCTCTGGAGTATTGGGAATCACCATGCCATTTACCAAAGGAGATTAACAGGCACAGAGAGGCTAAGTAACTCTCTAGGGCCACACAGTGATTGACTGGAGTAATCCACAGGAGAAGGAAGAAACTCAGGATCCCTATACTCCACCCTAAATCCGAAGACCTTGCACTGCCATTAAGCTCTTGAATCTACCCAACGTTCAGGCATTTAATCCCTTTCAAACTTAGTGGCTGTCAAAGAGAAAAAGAAAGCAGCTTTGTGTGAGGGGATGCAATTCCCACGACGGCCAGCAGGTGGGGGCAGAGCATGGCCAGGTATTGAGTCTTTCCCTCTCACCTGCTGTTTTCCACAAGGTAATGCACAATTTTGTCCAGGACCTTCTCAAACAAGGCCGTGCGAATCCACAGATGCTTGATGGCAAGTGGGGACAAGCTGGGCAGCTTCGGCAGCTTCCGCACATTCTCCTGGAGGCCCTGGATCTGGTTTCTCCTTCAAGACCAATGAGAGAGAGGAATAAATACTCACAAGAGCAAATCCACACAGGACTAATTGGCAAATGGGAGAATGTTCAATCTCTCGGGCAAAGGAAGGAATGGCAGCTAAACCACAAGAGCCCATATGGCTGCTAGCAAGCTGGTCACGAGTTAAAAAAATAATAATACCCAATGAGTGTGCAGATGTGGTTAAACAGACACTTTCCTACACTGCCAAAGGGCAAGCCAGATTCTCATACGGATATCCCCCCGCCTCTCTCTCCTGGAAAGGAGTGCTGGCCAAGAAGAGTCCTGGAGTGTAGATCCTTCATTGGGTCTCCAGTGCACTTGGGAAGCAAGCTCTTCAACATGACTGGCAGAGAGCTACAAGACCTTGCCCCACTCATCTCTCCAACAATCTCCTTACCACTAACCCTTATCACTCCATGATCCAGCCAGACAGAGGTATGTGCGGATGCCTGAGGGCACCAGAGTCTCATCTGAAGCCTTTCCCTGGGCTGCCGCTTCTTCCGGGTTCCCTCCCCACCCATTCCCAGGCTGATCCCTCTCACTGTTTAGGTCTCAGCGAGGGCTTCGCCTCCTACATACAGGAAGCTCTCCTGGACCAATCAAAGCTGGTCTGTGCTCTGTCAGCCTCTGGAGCTGAGCTCCCTGCTCACTTTTCTGTCTTCCCCTCCATGCTGTGATCTTGAGGATATGAAATTGGCAACTTATTTTGTTGTTGTTGTTTTGAGATGGAGTTTCACTCTTATTGTCCAGGCTGGAGTGCAATGGCACAATTTCGGCTCACCGCAACCTCTGCCTCCCGGGTTCAAGCGATTCTCCTGCCTCAGCCTCCTGAGTAGCTGGGATTAGAGGCATGCGCCACCACGCCCAGCTAATTTTGTACTTTTAGTAGAGATGGGGTTTCTCCATGTTGGTCAGGCTGGTCTCCAACTCCCGACCTCAGGTGCTCTGCCTGCCTTGGCCTCCCAAAGTGCTGACTACAGGCGTGAGCCACCGCACCCAGCCGCAACTCATTTTTTTTTTTTTTAAATAAAATACTTACTGAGAGTCTACCATGTGGCAAGCACGGGCCCTCTTCGTGTTTATATCTCCAGGGCCCAGCACAGTGGCTGACATATAGAGGACGCTTAGTAAATGTTTATGAATGAGGCCGGGCGCGGTGGCTTAAGCCTGTAATCCCAGCACTCCGGGAGGCTGAGGCGGGCAGATTACGAGGTCAGGAGATCGAGACCATCCTGGCTAACATGGTGAAACCCCGTCTCTACTAAAAAATACAAAAAACTAGCTGGGCGAGGTGGCGGGCACCTATGGTCCTGGCTACTCGGGAGGCTGAGGCAGGAGAATGCGTAAACCCAGGAGGCGGAGCTTGCAGTGAGCTGAGATCTGGCCACTGCACTCCAGCCTGGGCGACAGAGCGAGACTCCATCTCAAAAAAAAAAAAGTTTATGAATGAGTGATTGCATATATGAATAAATGCTTCTCCCTTACCACTTGCACAGGCATCTCTAATTCCTCCATTAGGAGGGTGACAAATCTAATCCTTTAAGAAGTTATCTGCAAACACCTGGGAACTTAGCAGATGGACTGGAAGGTACTCAAAGACCAGTTGGCTGAGAAGTCATTCCAAATGGGAGTTGACAGAGCCAAATCCTTAGCTCTGACCACCATACCGTTCTGGCCAGCAGCCCTGGGCAGGCAGGGCCTGAAACGCAAGGAAAGGGCCATTCTCATCCAGTGAAGTGGAGTGACCACCCACAACAGAGACTGCAAACATAGGACATGCTTGTATGCTTGTCTCTTCCCTGCCTTTGCCCTTGACAGACATGACCAATCAATCCATGTGCTTTTCCCCAGAACACCCAATCATAGCTTCAGAACCACAGTACATTCCTCTGGGAAGCCACTAGACCAAATTTGTTGCCAGGAGTTGAAACCAAATCTGTCATCCCTGACCAGGCTGTAGTATAGACTGGGGGTTTGGCTGTGCAGACAGGACCTCCCAGGGAGTGGCTCTGGCTGAAAGTGCTCACATGCACACATTCTGTCCTTGACCCCCCCCCAACACATACCACCAGCCACCAAGACGAGGGAGGGAAGCCACCTCTCCCCTTCAAAGGTTACTTCAATATAAGGGTTTTTTTTTAAACTTTTTTTTTGAGAAGGAGTCTTGTCTGTTGCCCAGGCTGGAGTGCTATGGCATGATCTCAGCTCACTGCAACCTCCATCTCCCAGGTTCAAGCAATTCTCCTGCCTCAGCCTCCCGAGTAGCTGGGATTACAGGCGCCTGCCACCGTGCCCGGCTAACTTGTATATTTTTAGTAGAGACGGGGTTTCACCATGTTGGCCAGGCTGGTCTCGAACTCCTGACCTCAGGTGATCCACCAGCCTCGGTCTCCCAAAGTGCTGGGATTACAGGCGTGAGCCACCACACCCAGCCGGGGTTTTTTTTTTAACTTCTAATCAGTGTATTTGAATGTGTTACAATATGCCTATTGATATGTGGCCCTCGTGTCTGGTCCACACAGACAGAGACCATATTGGTTCTATCAAACTTTGGTTGCCTTGCATTTAGAATGGGCCGTGGCTCCCAGTAGGCTCTCACTCAACAGTTGTTTCTTGGGCATCTACCAGGTGCTAGACACTGGCCCAGATGCTTGAGACATAATGGGAGAAAACAGATCTAGTTGCCTGCTCTCATGGAGTTCAGCATCAAGTGAGATAGACAACAATCAAACAAACCTGACATGAATAACTACAGATGTCCAATCAACAACAACTGGGAGGAAAATAAACAGGGCGATATCGAAGAGAACATGGAGGGGTGGAATTTTCTGAGCTAACGGAAGGTCTGAATGATGGCAAGAAAGCAGCTACGGATGATCAGATGGGTGAGTCTGGTGGAGGGTGAGGCACATGCAAAGACCCTGGGGTGAGAAAGAGTCTGGTGGGTTTGAGGAGCAGGATAGGGAGTGAAGAGAGTGCCCGGGGATGCAGGCTCTCTCGGGGCCCAGGGAGGACTGTGGACTATTCTCTGGGGAGCTGCTCCCACCTGTGCCCCACACTTTGCACTCACGCGCTCTCAATCAGCTGCTCCAGGTCTTGCACCTTGCGGCTCAGATCCTCAGCCGGCGGGAAGCTCTTGCCCACTTTCATAAAGAGGGCTGCGATCTTGTTGCTGCGTAGAAAGCCGGCCGCCCGCCGCCGAAGCCCGTGTAGGACGCAGGCCTCCACAGCCGCTGCGGGGACATGGCAGTCAGCAGGCCCTGCCCTGCCCTGCCCATGCTCCCCAGCACCCAGCGTGTCCCAGAGCTTCTGTCAGACACAGGAACCTTGGAGAGCCCTCTCAATCTTCTTACCCTCTGTCTTAGCCAAGAGACGGGAAGCTCACACTTGTATAGGTGCATAATCAACGTTTATTGAAAAAGTGATTACATAAGAAGTACTCTTTATTAGGCATCTGCTGGGTGTCAGATAATTGTTAAAATTTACCTTTCCGAATTCTTGTGACAAAACCCATGAAGTAAGAGCTCTAAAGAGCAAACCAGCGCTCTCAGGGGGCAGAGCTTGACCAAGGTTATGCTATGTGCAAGGAGAAATATTGACAAGTTTTGGTCTCATCATTTTGGGGTTTTTTTTGTTTTTGTTTTGTTTTTTTGCATTAGAAAACAGTTTGTTTTGAATGAATGATCAAATATTGCCTAATCTGCCCACAGATTTAAAATATTCCTGGAGATGATCTCTTAGATATCTTACTTTTAACTTATATATGCAGTACTTTTCATTTGCTTATGGTGATGTAAGTGAGCTGTCTATTCAGACTTTGTAGACATTGTTTAATCCTTCCTGACAACGGCTTATAAGAAACAACGGACAAAAGAAACCTCAAGGAGGTTCTTCAGGTTTCATTTAGTGCCATCAAATTTCTCCCACCCAAATACTTTTGAGTAGAGCTACCGAATTATTATACTATTTTTATCACTTTTATTCCTCTAAGTTAATTGGTAAGTATGCTAGCAAGTCTTAAGATGGACATGCATGCAATTTTATTTGGAAATAAAAATATTCGGGAACACACAAAAAGCTGGGAATACAAATATATATATATACACACACACACATATATGTATCTAATTATGTGTGTGTATATGCGTGTACAGCTATATGTTTACATAAAGACATCCCACTTAAAAAAATAAGATCTTCATTTTGGGAGGCCAAGGAGAGAGGAATGTTTGAACCTAGGAATTCAAGACCAACCCTGACAACACGGCAAGACTCTGCCTTTACAGAAAATTTAAACATTTGCCAGGTGTGGTGGCACATACTTGCGGTCCCAGTTACTCGGGAAGCTGAGGTGGGAGGAACGCTTGAGCCTAGGAGGTTGAAGCTGCAGTGAGCTGTGATTGCGCCACTGCACTCCAGCCTAGGTGACAGAGTGAGATCCTGTCTCAAAAAAAGAAAAAATAGAAAGATCTTGCCCAAAGTCAATTCAAGAAAGTGGCAGAGGTGGATCCAGGTCTGCCTGGTTGAAAATGGGGTGAACTGAGGTCCGTGGCCTCCCAGGACACGGTGTGTGCTCAGCATGTTGTGGGCCCCGTGGGGTGGTGCCCCCAGCCATTTGGACGGCAGCTGATGGGCTGGCCAGCTGTCCTAGCTCAGGCCTCTCCACAGGACCGAGATCACGGGAGGGGAATTCGAACACGTCCTTCATTATGAGACACTCCAATTATTAAATTAAGACATTTTCAGGGAGATAGAAAGACAGACTACCACTTCTATGTACACACTGATAATCCTGACCTCAGAGACACTCAGAACCCATCTCTACCATTCTTAAAGTACAGCAAGAGCCTGGCCATGGGGTTATTTCTGGAAGCTTGTGAGCAGAGCTGGTTCAAGGAGACATGTCTGAGTCACGCTCTGAGCCCTGGGCCTGCCTGCTTTGCTGAGCCAGATGGACATGACCCTTCAGGCTATGTCACGGGCTCTTAGTTCCCTTTTTTAAAAAGTCCCCATCTACCCTCTCCCTTTACCTAGCAATAGCCACAGGCAGAATGATGGACAGGGAGCCCATTCCTCAGACGCAAGACCGTGTGTCACTTGAGGCACGGTCAGTGTGAACGGTGCCCACGGGGAGGGGAAGACAATCAACTCCTCCAGTGTTAACCACACTGACCTCTTCATGGGGTACAGAAGTCATTTTTAATTGTTTATCTACACTGTTCTGTATTTTCAAATTCTCCAGTGGAGTCCCCCTTTGGAATCCAAAACTAACTTCAGAGTCATAAAGCAAAACAGTGGCTCAAAGACGCCACTTCCCCGAGGCTGCCCACAGAGAAAGAAGCCACTTTCCCAGGCTACAGACTCACCACAGAAGGAGATGATGTGGCTGCTGTCTTCGTGGACAAACTTGCGTGTCACAGCCTCCTCCATGATCTGCTTCACCTGGAAGGCAGAGGTGACCGGAGGGGAAGAGGTCCAAGGTGACCAAGGTGACCTGGGTGTAGGTGCCCCAAAAGGGCTGCACTGCTCCCCACAAGGCCTTTCGGGCTGTTTAGGATGTTTTGATACCTGCTTTCCTTCCCCCTCCTCATCTTGTCTTTTGGAGGTCTGAGGCCTGCTTCCCATTTTATCTGAGCTCCATGCTTCCCATTTTATCAATTATTTGTTCAGGTCCTTTGCATAGTGGGCTGCTGCTTCTCTTAGGGATCACATAAGATGTCATCTCCTTTCCTGACCACACTGACTAAGGCAGACCCCTCCCCAATCCCATCCCCTATCTTAGTTCCTGTAGGGCACGCACCACTATTCCCATTCTTTTTTTTTTTTTTTTTTTTAAGATAGTGTTTTGCTCTGTTGGCCCCGGCTGGAGTGCAATGGCGCGATCTCGGCTCACTACAACCTCCGCCTCCCGGGTTCAAGCCATTCTCCTGCCTCTGCCTTCCAAGTAGCTGGGATTACAGGCGCCCGCCACCACGTCTGGTTAATTTTTCTATTTTTAGTAGAGAAGGGGTTTCACTATGTTGTCTTGAACTTCTGACCTCAAGTGATCCGCCTGCCTCGGCCTCCAAAAGTGCTGGGATTACAGGGGTGAGCCGCGGCACCCAGTCTACCACTATTCCCGTTCTCTTTGTTGATTTGTTGGCCATCTGTTTCTCTCTTCTAGAATTTAAGTTCCACAAGGGCGGAAACTTCATCTGCCTCATTCACTGCTGAATTTGCACAGCCTAGGACAGTGCCTGGCACAGGGCAGATGCTCAATCAACATTTTCTAAATGACTGGATGAATGAATGAATCAGTGTATGAATGAAAGAATAAGATATATAAAGGAATCGAGAAAGTGCAGGGTAAAAAAACTGCCCTGGAATCAGGTAGACCTGAGTTCAAATCCCAGCTTGGAGACCTCCCAAACAGGTTTCTGATCTTATTTTGGGAAACGGACGCTCAGCGAGATAAAGGCACTTACCCAGGTAGGCAGAGCTGGCTGACACAGACAGGTTCCAGCTCGAGACAGACACCCAGGCCGTGTGCTCTTCCCAGCACACTCGCTCCCTCAAGAATTCTCACCTGGGTGCCTGTAATGTGCCAGGCACGGGGACACAGTGCCAAAGGGCAGCTGTGCCTCTGCTTGTGGTGTCGATCCTCTGGCAGCCTGAACACCCTTCTGCTCCACTGGATTCTGGGCCCGATTCTGCCCAGAGTCACCGTGGGATTTAAGCAAGGTCCGTCTCCTCTCTGGGCCTCAGTTACCCCACTTTGAGGTTGAGGAGGTTGGAAAACACAATCCCAAAGGCCTGTTTCAGCTCTACATCACCCTGAGGGTTCTGATGTTGGGGTAAATAAAGCAAAGTTCTGAGTTACCCCCACCCAGTGGGTTCCCATGCCCTCTCCCACTGTCCTGTGGCCCGTTCAGACTCCACCAGGCCAGCACATCCATGCATCCATCTGAGAGCTGTCCTCGGCCCTCCCTGCCCACTCTCCCTGCCTTCTGGTTACATCCTGGTGTTGAACACAGAGTTCGGTGCATCCCTGTCCATCTTCTCTGCAGAAACACATGGCAGTGTCCCCCCAGAACTGGCTCACCACCCCCACCCCACACAACCAAGTCAGTACCAGCCCTGTGAACAGCTCCCGATCTCAGCACTCCACCAACTCCAAGCTGGGCATTGCCTGCAGCATTTCTAACCCTGAAAACTATCTAAGGAGGCCCATGAAGTTGGCTTCATTTTGCAGATGTGGAAACTGAGTCTCATGGAGGCAAACTGACCCACTCAAGGTCACAGAGTAGGAAGGAGCACAGTAGAAATTCAAACTTATCACTTTTTTTTTTCTCCCTGTACAGGCTCCTGCTGCTGTATTTTGGCTCTTCTCACTATTAGCTGTGTTTCCTCAGGCAAATCCTGTCACTTCTCTGAACCTTAGTTTTCTCCTTGGTTTAAAAGGTTATAGAAATAGCACCAACTTCAAGGCACTTGGGAAGGCTGAACAAGATAATGATCATATACTGAGCATAGAGCCTGGCACGCAATGAATGTCTGCAAAGTGTGCTGCAAATAAATTTTGGCTGCATGCAGGTCATCAGCTCCACCTGAAACCTTACCTGGTCTCCCATCACCATTATTTTGGACCTGGCTGGAATGTCACCGGTTCAGGACATCAAATTCCCCTGCTTGGGTTACTAGAGAAGCTGCTTTTGAAACACCCATCAGGCTGGGCGCGGTGGCTCACACTTGTAATCCCAGCACTTTGGGAGGCAGAGGCAGATCACGAGGTCAGGAGATCGAGACCATCCTGGCTAACACGGTGAAACCCCGTCTCTACTAAAAATAGAAAAAAAATTTAGCTGGGCTTGGTGGCGGGCCTGTAATCCCAGCACTTTGGGAGGCCGAGATGGGCAGATCACGAGGTCAGGAGATCGAGACCATCCTGGCTAACATGGTGAAATCCCGTCTCTACTAAAAAATACAAAAAAATTTAGCTGGGCGTGGTGGCAGGCGCCCGTAGTCCCAGCTACTCAGGAGGCTGAGGCAAGAGAATGGCGTGAACCCGGGAGGCAGAGCTTGCAGTGAGCCAAGATAAGGCCACTGCACTCCAGCCTGGGTGACAGGGCGAGACTCTGTCTCGGAAAAAAAAAAAAAAAAGAAAAGAAAAGAAACACCCATCAGATGTGTAACATTTGGTCAGCACTTGTTTTAAAAAAAAAAAAAAGAAAAGAAAAGAAACACCCATCAGATGTGTAACATTTGGTCAGCACTTGTTTTCCCTGCCAGTCTCTGATCCCCATGAGGGTAAGCACTCTGTGTCTCCTTGCTTTATGGCTATGGTGCCAACAACTACCTCGAGTTCCAGCACATGGTATGTGCTCAATAAAGTTCTCTTTGCAAATGAATGGCTCAAAGAATCATGATTGACCTCAGGCTTTGGTAGAGTATTTCATTTGAAAAAAAAAATTTTCTTGTAAACATAATTGTGGGTAATAGAGCAGTAACATTATTATCCCTATTTGTCAGGGGAGGAAACAGAGGCCCAGAGAGGTGGCGTAATCTGTTTGGGGTCACACAGCAGATGAGGACTGGATTTGTCGTTTGAAGCCAGGTTTGTCCGACTCCAGGGGCTGAGCTCCTTCTGCAATATGTCATGAAGCCCACGTGGTCTCAGGGCATTTGCACACCTCTCTCCTCTCTGCAGGAATCTGCCTCCTTCTTTCCTTTGCTCCTCTACGGTAGGACACGGTGATGCTGAGAAACTGCCAGAAGGCAGTTGCCAAGCACCCAAACCCTGATGACATTTGGGAATATAGCAGCAGCGGGAGTGAGTTCAGGCTCAGTCATAGATGGTAGAGGACTTCCAGGGAGGCACTGGGGGTGGGAATTCCAGGCAGCTGGGTCAGGTGCACTTTCATGAATGCACATGGTTAATTAAGAACTGAGAATTTGGGGACAGACAGACCTGGGTTCAAATCCTGGGATGAGCCACTTATCACAACTTGGGCAAATTCCTTTACCCCCTTAGGATAACAGTACTCGGGAGGCAGAGGGTGCAGTGAGCCGAGATCGTGCCACTGCACGCCAGCCTGGTGACAGAGCAAGACTCCATCTCAGGAAAAATAAATAAATAAATAAATAAAAATAAAAAATAAAAAAATAAAAAAATAAAGCACCAACTTCTAAAGATTCAGTCAAATACGTTGGCTGTACCTTCAAAATGTCTTCAGATTCCAACCGCTTCTCAGCCCCTCCACCACCACCTCCCAGTCTAAGTCACCATCACCTCTCCGCTGAATCAATGCTGTAGACTCTTACCGGTCTCCCTGCATCCACTTCTAAGAAGCTCATTTTAATGCAGCCAGAAGGATCTCGTTAAAAGGTAAGTCAATAGAACAACCAGACAGAATATCAATAAGGAAACAAAGGCCTTTAGCAACACTATAAACCAACAATTGGACTAAACAGACATGTACAGGACACTCCACCCAATGATGGCAGGACGCCCACTTTTCTCAAGTTCTCAAGTGCACATGGAACACTCTCCAGGAGAGAGAATATCTTTCATAAACTTTTTTTAAAAAATGACATTATACAAAGCATCTTTCTCATTCACAATGGAACGAAACAAGAAATCAACAGCAGAAGGAAAACTACGAAATCCACAAATAAGAGTCATAAACAGCATACTCTTAAATAACAAATGGGTCAAAGAAGAAATCTCAAGGGAAATTAGAAAATACATTGAGATAAACACAAAAACACAACATGCCCAAACCTGTGGGCTGCTATAAAAGCAGTGCTAAGAAGGAACTTACAGCTGGAAATGCTTACATTAAAATAAAGAAGATCTCAAAGAAACAAGTTACCTGCACACCTTAAGGAACAAGAAAAAGAAGAACAAACTAAAACCAAAGCTGGCAGAAAGAAGGAAATAATAAAGATTAGGCTGGGCATGGTGGCTCACACCTGTAATCCCAGCACTTTGGGAGGTTGACGTGGGCGGATTACCTGAGGTCACGAGTTCAAGACCAGCCTGGTCAACATGGTGAAACCCCGTCTCTACTAAAATACAAAAATTAGCCAGGCATGATGGTGGATGTCTATAATCCCAGCTACTTGGGAGACTGAGGCGAGACAATCACTTGAACCCGGGAGGTGGAGGTTGCAGTGAGCTGAGATCGCACCATTGCACTTCAGCCTGGGTGACAGAGTGAGACCCCATCTCAAAATATATACATAAAAGTTAAAAATTTAAAAATTTAAAAATAAAGATTAGGGCAGCCATAAATGAAAGAGAATTTAACAACAGAGAAAACTAACAAAGTCAAGAGATGGTTTGTCCAAAAGATCCAACAAAATTGACAAACCGTTAACTGGATTGACTAAGAATAAAAAAGAATTCTCAAAATTAAAATCAGAAATGAAAATGAGGACATTACAACTGATGCCATAGAAAA